AAAATGTAGTTTTTCAGGTCAAATACCAGCTTTGCAGTTGGTTGTCAAAGTAAAAATTATGAAGATTTATGTTTTCTTTATAATTTTGATTTGATTTCTGCAGTACCCCGGCACGTATCCCATAGTTTCACGTCCCAGGCAACTATGGAATACGTAAGGGTACGGCAAGATAGGTTTCGCAAGAACAAACAACTAACCAGTAGTTCCAGCCGGTACAATCTCTCTTAAATGTTCGAAGACATCAAGTCTCCTTAAATCTTTTGCTTTCTGTGCCAGATTACGGATTATCATCTTGGTGTCAGGGTCTGGCTGCTCAAGAGCGTCTTTGTCCAGTTGCAGGTTCTCCTTCAGTTGTTGAACAATCTCGTTGGCATTGCACGACGCTGACAAGAGGGATTGCTTAACATTATCAGGTAGGGAAACTTCGGTGGTTGCTTAGGTTAAACAAAACGAAAAGATGAGTCATCAATCTATGATATTTCAAATTAGTTATTCACTGCGTAATGTGTTTGGAGAACTGTCACGAATATTTTCAGCACATTAGCAGTTTTGCAATCTGACTATGGCCTTCAACCTTCCCTTGTTTTTCTTTATGATGTTAGGTTAAAATGTTGACATTCCTATAGCAATGATCATTGTTATTTTTTTTCTAATGAAACAGAAAGGACAAGCAAGCTCAAGATGCACTCACTTGTAGTTTTATCCAGGTTTTGCACCATATCACCCCGTTTGGAATCAGACTCCAACCTCTCTGGAAAGGCTTCTTCCAGCTGCAGACTCTCCTTTAATTGTGGTGAAATATTTTGGTCGTCTCGCCGCTGTGTTAAATGGATTCGCAAAAACTCATTGGCAGAAAAATTTTCCTCACCATCTTAAAATAAAGACAAGATGAAAAATTTTGGCCAATATTTGCTTCAGTCTGAAGGTTTGTCAAATGAAATGTATTTTTTAACAGTCAAATGAAGGACTTTTTGCCTATTCCGTTTTCTAGAGAGAACCATCAAACAACATATACAATAATGTTACCTTCAACAGAGGCTAAGTTTCCGTCACCACATTTATCAACAGCAAACTGTTAAAAAAAAGAAAAGAATTAAGCACCATCATGGGAATGCAACATTTTTAACCATTGTACATTTGATGCATTTCCTTAACCTCAATACTTACCTTAGGCATGTGTGACGAGAGAATTACTTTGCTGATTTTGCATGAGCAAACAAAAAATATACCAGAGCACTTAATTTTTCCAACCGAACCAAAACACAGGTGCCTTTTTCGTCTTTCTGGATCCGTCTTCTGTCCGTTACAGTCATGTAGTTAAACATTTACGGTCTCATCTTATCTTTTGATGACAAATACGTAAGACATTTTCTGTACATCTCATCAAACTGGAAGTCACCTCCAAAAAAGTAATATGATATTTAAAATCATTTACCTGATTTCTCATAGGAGAAAACCAAGGCTCGAAGTTTTTCATCGAAATTCTATTCATCTTAGCAGTTTCAGATCTGGTGCAACAGATCATCTTCTTGTCGCTGAACAGCTTTGACTCGGGCCTGAAGTGCAAGCATTCTTCTTGCTTGCAATTTTTTGTACGATGTGTGCGGCAGTAGCTGACTGCACCTCCTTGACAACAAACAGGGCACAAGAAACTTATTTCATATTTCATAATCTGTAGCCAACAGAATTCTCTTCGCATGGACTCAAGCATCAATTCCAGTTGCCTCAATACCGCGCAAGGAAAGGTGTCGTGGTGGTTATCTAAAGGCGAAGTCATCCCTGACTTTGAACAGTGTGCCTCCTCATGACCGTCGTCACCTCTGTAAGGAACGACCTCTATTGATGACATATGGCAGAGAAGGACTACGGAACAATTTTCTTCTTTGGAATCGTAAATTCTGACAAAATTGTGGTATAGCTGAGGGTGCTCTGGGCTGGTACATTCTTGTTTGCACCACTGCAAAAAGTGCAGCACCAATCGGGGAAACAAGCCAGGTGGAACTTGTCCAGATTCAAATTTGATAAAGAGAGGGGGAATTTCTGCAGATCCAACTAGTTCCACAATATCTTCTGGTGGATGTGACATCAACATGGAAGGTACCAGATACTGCTTCCGGCATGAACCATCAGAAGATGGCCAAGAACATAGTAAACTGAATTTCTCCATGATCGCAATCAGACTTTTGCAAGTGTCCTCGTTGTGATACAAAGAGCCCCAAACGTGTTCTAAGAGCGATTCCTCCAAAATGCCTTCTTTTTCAAGCCTTAACCAGAGTTTTTTAAATTTTATGTCCTCATTGTCAAATGGCATTGTAGTTATAACTTCCTTGAACACATCAATCAACCACTGTGCGTCCAAGACCACCATTTTGTTCAGCTCCGGAGTGTCATCAAAGTGAATTAAAAGTCTTTGATCATGCAAAAAGTTCAATAATGTTCTAAATTCTTCATCGTCAGCAACGTGACACACATCATAAGCAATTTGTTCTGCATCCTCAAAGGAAATCCATTTGCGACCTCCATTCTTCGCAGCTTGCATTTCCTTTTCAAATCTAAGCCAATTGATTGGAATTGCGTCTTTCATCTGTGGTAATTCTTTTGCAACGGCTCTTATTTTCTCACGCAAGCGCACAACTTCTTGACACTCAGACCCATGACCAGACCTGGTGTTATCCACGGTAAAGAAATTAAGTAAGTGGCCTTGGTAGGGTTTAGTCTGTAAGTGACCAAATGTCATTCTAGCCAGCTCAGTTGGATCACCTTCATCATAGGGTTTGTCCGCATGAGTGCAAACTAAAAACACGGGTGGCAATTTCTCAGGCAACACCTCAGAATTGCATTCTTTAGGATAGCTTTCATCATGAATGGCTATAGATGCGACAGATGACATCCAAAAATGAAGATAATCCCTATTGGTTTTCAAAAGAGAGCTATCCTGTTGTTTACAAAACGTTCCTTGCTTCATGACTGATTCCGCCTTCCCCTGTGGGTCCCGCCTAAGGTCATTAACCAAAAGGTATATTGCTCTGTCCGTAAGGAATAGTGGGTGGGTAGTGTAGTAAACTGCCTGTCCGCCAAAATCCCACAGAATTGAGTATATATCTTCTTCTTCTTCTTTGCCTGTGACGTCGTTGTCTTCCTTCAATAAAACTTCAATCAAATTTATGACTTCTTCAGGCACCTCTTCAAAGCTGCCAACATGATCTGCACCATTAGTTTTTTTATCTTGTGACATCGAAATAGAGGTCGCATCTTCAGGTATATTAGGAGTATCAGATTTGGTGAAAGAGTAATGGCTGGTTGTATAGGGCACAACCGAAGCTGTAGGCAGGGGATGTTTTTCCCCTTCAGACAGCAAACAGCTACCTGAGATTACCTCATCGGGATTACGTGGTAATGAAAGGTTGCCGTCGCTCAAGCCTGTCTCGACTTATTTCCCTTGAACAATGTGTTCAACCTGATTAGACTTTGGACCCTCTTCACCATAAATAATTCCTTGATCACTAAAATTTTGGACGGTCAAGCGCGCTGCATGGTGTTCAAAGGAAAACGCCATATTAAAATTTTGATCTCCGTCTTTCTCTCCCAGCTTCCAAATCTCGGTCGCCACTTTGAAATAAGACGGGTCTACATCTATGCCTATGGTGCTGTCCTCTTCTGGGTTGAAATCTCTCTCTTAAGAGATTTCACTAAACTGGTTTTCCCCGAGCGGTCCTGCCCAATCAACATAATTGCAACGCGATTGTTTGTTGTTTTTCCTTCAGATATGGCTTTTTTGTAGCCTTTGAAAGCCAACGGTCCTCGTGCACGAATCTCTGGAGGCACCTCATCTATTGACATGAACAGAAGTAGATTAATACACATCTCCTCATGATACTGCTAGTGTATGTTCCGGTGTGTTTGCAAGCTATTTGCCGGCGGTTTTGGCTAATTCATTCATATCGACATAACTAATGACTACAATTTTCATTCAAGAATACCTTGAGTTTAATTCCTAGTTATTCAAACAAATAGACAAAAGATAACTAAAAAGGAAGAATGACGACTTCCCTTGTCGAACTTTTGGCATATGTGGTGGAATTTCTCCACCATTGGGTTAAACTTTGGAATCTCAAAAAGCGATGAAAAGTATTTTTTTAGTAAACTTTAATTGGTGGAATGAAACTTATACAATCTCTTGAGCAGCCAGCCCTCCCCTGGTTTATAGACACTTTTACACGCAAGAAACGGGGACTCTACTCAATACACTTTCTAACAAACAACGTAACTCTTGTCGCGACCATTAACACAAGATCAAAAAGAGATCGTAAAGAAGCATACACACCAATGAAAAAAAACATCAGAATGGTAAGTCATCATAATGCCTTTCTTAACAGGATCTTGGAATCGTCCATAACGATAAAACGTAATCATGCAAAATCGAAACGTCCCTTCGTAATAAATTTTTTCTTTCATCAGAGCTCTCAGTATTTCAACGACATTATAGCCAAGGAACTTATTAAGTTTTTTTTTGCCAAAAGCATTTTATCTCAGGGAGTCTTCTCTTGATCTGTATCAGCTATAAAGGACAGACTGCCTTAAGGTTTGATAGCAACAAACAAACCTTGGCGGCCAACTTTTTATCACCTACCTTTCACTCCCACAGGTTTGTCAATCTTACGCCAAACGTCTTCGTAGACCACTTGTGAAACTAAAAAAAGTCAGAGTATAAATACGAGTTTATTCGACTTGAATTATGAAGCCGTTACTAATGTCCTGTTAAGGCCCTTAGCTCACTGAAAGATCTCTAAGTCACTTTCGGTTTGATTTGTTTATCGAGTCACTATCATCGACCATTGACGCAATGTTTCTACTAATAAAGCGCAACTAATCTAATGATACAAAGAAGCTCAATATTTTCCCAGAGCTTCAAGTAAATTTAAAGCTGAGACCTTCCGTTCCTGATTGGATGCATTGACCAACAGAGCACAAGTTAGGAGCAAGTTATCTGAACACAATGTAGGATCATGCATAACACTAGCACATTAGTTTTCCGTTGCTAGTTCAATGCTCTTAGCGTAATTCGACCCTCGATTCTCAAAAATTATTCCAACATACTGATACTTGTGTGATTTAACGATGAAATTATGAATCCATTCCTCAGGAACAGTAAAGGTTGAACCCAGTGAGAAAAAATATCTAGAATTAATCTGGTTGGTTTGGCTGGACCCGACTTAACTTGGCTTCGCTCCGCTTTGCTTTGTTTTCTCTGCTTGTAGTATTCTTTTACTCTGCCTAGAATACAGGGACTCTAGAATATCAAAATGAAAAGGAGCCCCGACCACAGTTTCCGTTCCCGTAAAACTCTTATTTTGTTTGCCTTCTATATAAGCAAGATCGAGATATTGAAAAGGGCTTTTGAAATTCACGCATTAAAGGTAAAATATGATTGAGTAGTTTTTAGTCTCGCCGGCTATTCTAGACAATCCTCGATAATCTTGTCTAGTTTTTGTTTTTAAGTTTTCTTCACTCAATCAAATCATAATTAATTTGACAAGGAAGGTCGCTTTATACAACTGAAGATTTCCTGTAGCTAAACTTTCATTATTTAAAGCCTATCTGAGATGTCACATTCATTATGCATGTTGACTAATTTCTACAAAAGAGTTGACCCAAAGGCGGAAGAAATGTCCCTACAGTGTAAAGGAGCAGTGAAAAACCTGTGAACTAAGGAAAATAAAGTGACATATCTATACAATGACAAACGTCACAACTAATTGTTAAATCAGATTTGTTACTAATAGCTACAGTTATATCTTGCTAACATCGGCCTTTGCTGACGCTCATCCCAAGGCTGCAATTTAATTTCTGCAATGACTTGAAAACAGAAAAAAATCTCATTCCTGAAATTGCCTTTGGAAAGGAGAAATGAAACTCCGTCCTTATAAATTCTGTTTCTTTCACTTTTCATCATACATGTACATAAAAATTTGTCTACCCCGTCTTTAATGACATACATGTCACCATTATCTTTTCAGTCAGCGAAGTCTTCCACAGATTTCTGTGCTTAAACTTTCTACAACGTATATACGCTTTTGACAAGCAGCTACCTACATCGACATAATATTTATCCAAATTAATCTACTTTTATACACATGCCAACGAATAAGTCAAATTTGGTCCCGATAGCCGTAGTTCTTCTTAAATACTTCCGCATTGAACTGATGTTACCTAATCGGAGGCAGACATTTGACTTTTGTTCTACCTGAAAAATCAAAACATGCAACTTTTTCAGGACTTGAAAATCTGAATCAGAGAACTAACCTTTTTTTCTGCTGTTTCTATTACCCTGTTCGTTGTTTGTTTGACAGCGTTGGTAGTTTCTTTCAGTCTTCTATTAATAACAATCTTACGAAATTTGTCTGAGTCTTTTGAAATACTAAAGTACAAGTCACCATGAGCCTTCTCCCTTTGTAGATCATGGATAATGTATACAGGGATAGGCAGATTTCCATACTTAAACTGTACATCTTCCTCTTTAAAGGATACCTCCCCGTTGCAAACACGAGTTTTCAGTACGAGGTCTTCACCGGGTCTGAGGGATATTTCCTTGTCCAAAAGAAATTCTTTCAAATTTGGATCAATGTAATACTTAGGTGTGTCAATGATGGACTTGATAACTATTACTCCAATCTCAGATTCGTTCCTGTAATTTTCAAGCAGCCACTTTTGGAAGTCAACTGAAATCGTAAATTCAGGGTCCCATATTTGAAGGTCACCCAGCCGTTCAGATATCTTTCCGTAGCTAGCGATACCTCTCAGTAAAACAACAGGAAAAGGGTTTTCTTTAGATTGTGTGGCCAGTACAGGCTGCGGGGTATTCTGAACACCTCTCTCATGAATGCTTTTCCTTTCTGAGGGATTGTGTGGAGGATAGTCTCTTCTTAATTCTATCTTAATTAATTAATTGGGGCGAGGAAACATTTGCCGAGGGAGTAGGTGTTAAGTGGAAAAATGGGCAACGGAGGAGATGGAGGGGAAGGAAAAAATACGCCTGCCGGCAAAGCCTGTGATTTCGCAAAACACCCCCTAATTAGCAGCGCTTGACCGCCTTTCCGGAAATGTGCAAGCAGCCAATGAACACTTAACTGTGTTGCAGTAGGTTCCAAGTGTGTATATTTTTAAAACTGTACCAGTAATTCAGCCTTGGGCTGCAAGTGGTCCGAAATAAACTATATTATCATATTATCAGTATTGTAGAACCGTATTTTGGATATATCTTGCAGTCAGAAATCCGAAATAAACATTACTAATATGCTCCAAGCTATCCACAGGCTAGTCGTTTACGAGTACACTCTTCCAGTTTGTCGTCTGTTGTTAGGCGCTGGCTTCCTTTGACCTCAATTCAGCAGTTTCAAACTCTTTGTTAACAATGTTCAGTGTGTTACTCACACTTTTCAACTTTCATCTTGGTAGGTTCCAAGCAGCTTCGCCCATTATTTCCAGCGATGTTGCTGTTGGTAACAATTTCGACATCAAATATGGCGTACGGAGGTGCGACAGCAAATCGGCTGGCTGATTTACTTATACTCATTCTTCAATATATGTAAAACAAAAACTTACTGAGTCTCCGGTGGGCCTTTTTTTTTCTTATTAAGTGATTGCATTTTGAGACAAAGGATTAAACTTCACTTTATCATTGACAGTAGTTCTGTTCGTTGTTTCGGTAGGATATAATTCTAGTATGAGTTGATACTTGGGCGGACACAATCAGATTCCAAGCGGTTACACCTTAAGTTATCCTATCGATTACAGACATGCATTTGGCACATTTCTGTGTTGTCATACGTTCCACATGTAAACCCGAATAAAAAT